ACAAATATTTCGGACATTCACCAAAGCAAATAAGTGATTGTTGACATTCACCGGTGAAAGTAGACGTTCTTTTGATTTCGGTCATTCACGGTAACAATTATAATTGTAATTTTTCAAGTAAAATAAGATTTAATTAAATATAATAATATCAACGAGTAAATTAATATCAAATAAGATGTAACAAATATTTCGGACATTCACCAAAGCAAATAAGTGATTGTTGACATTCACCGGTGAAAGTAGACGTTCTTTTGATTTCGGTCATTCACGGTAACAATTATAATTGTAATTTCTCAAATAAAATAAGATTTAATTAAATATAATAATATCAAAGAATAAATTAATATCAAATCGGATATAACAAATATTTCGGACATTCACGAAAGTGACTGTGTGATTGTAGTTATATATTCAACTTTTATCTACAAAATGCAAAATTTCTTTTTTACTCTATTTTGTATTTATTTATTTTTTGAATTAGAACACCTAACTACTTGTGTTATTTTTAAAATCTGTCTACTCTATCTACCTAAATTATAATCTACGTGAAGTCGTTTTAATATATCAAATGAAAATGTTCTGAAATTACAAAAGGCTTTTTGAATTTGGTGGAAAATAACCATTTGAAAGATTATATCTGGGTGAGGCTTTACTGCAATTTTATGCTTTATCTTCTTTAATCCATCTTAATGTCGATCATTATTTCCAATTCCATGTTCAAACCTCGCCCTAAATAATCGTTAAAAATAACCATTACCTGATAAAAAAGGAACTTAAGCGTCAGATAAAAATTTCGACAAATATTGGAATAAATTGAGTCTCGTTTTATCGATAAAGCAGAATCCTTTGTTTTTCGTATTAAGTTGAATATATAGATCTGCATTTATCAGCATAAAAAGCAGTAATAACTGTTTATTTTCATTAAAATTGCCGAGATTGTATAATAATAACCATAAATAATGCAATTTAAGACAATATGTATAACCAAATCAAAATATTTTATCGTTTTTCATTGATGGACCAACATAATCTTGATGGTAGCCATCAACAATTCCATCATGAACCATTATGTTTTTGATGGTAACCAACAGAAATAACCATCACCCCAATGTAGGAATTCGAACTGATTTATGATGGTCCAACATAAAATAGCAACTTGTTTTGATGGTTTGTTCGTGTTAAACCATCAGAAGTTTCCATCATAGTTTCTTAAAAATGAAATGTTGGAACGATCATGAACCATCATCTCCCCAATGTATTAATTCGGACTAATTTTTGATGGAGGATCATAAAAAAAAAAAATTTAAAAAATTGTTCTGGTGGTATATTCCTGCTGAACCAACAATAATTCCCAGTAACCATCATGGAAATATATAGTTGAAACTGTCATGAACCATCACGGATTGTTGGTTCATGAGAATTAAGCATCTCTTGATGGTTAACCATCATAGTATTAAAGTAACATTTTCCATCACGGAATGATGGAAGTTTGTGGGCATATCATAAACCTTGAATGCATAATGGAAAATGTTGGATGATGTTGACCATCATGAACCGGGCTGAAACCAACTTAAACCATCAGAATGTTTTGACAGGACCATCAAGAATTTTGACTTGGGTAACTGCCAATGAACGCTTGCAACTCCCGTTGCAAAAGTAGTTAAATTTTTTTTATTTTGGAACTACGTGAATAAAGCACAAATAAAGGTCAAAATTTGTGCTTTATTCGCGAATTGTTTTATTCAAAACTTAGCGCAAAATATATTCATTCGGATGTTTTTCTCCTTAGATATGGGATACAGCTGGTCAAGAAAGATTTCGTAGTGTCACCCATGCATATTATAGAGACGCACATGGTGAGTTTTATTCTCTTACTTTCAATGTTAAAATGTTTCATATTTTGTTATTTCCACCTTTAAAACTACACAAGTCTGAAAATTTTTAGTGAACAGAATTTTTTTTTTGCAAAGTAGCATCTGAATTTTATATTTTTTGATATGCTAATTTCAACTATGCTGTTCGTTTTTGTCAAGTTGGCAAGTTATAAACAAGTTGGCAGGCCGCTGGTCTCATGTTCGGAGAACGGGAACTCTAATCCTGCTGGCAGAGGACTCACCGTGTAGTAAATGGTGACTGGTGCACGTTAAATATGTCTGGTCACAAAGTCTTCCATGTTCCCGTAACAAATTATACCTCTAGGAGTACTGAATTGGCGATTGATCGTTCTCTGATTCAGGTCAAAATTACGACGTGTGGATGAATGAATGGATGTATGAATGGGCCCGCCCTATATTTAATTTTATTTAATAACGCCGTTGAACTGCTAACTCAATTTTTCGGGTTTTCACTTCTAATGTTCAACTCAGCAACCTTGTACAAGTTTTGAACCCAAGACGAGAGATCTCCTGGATCAAGTATTGGGAGAAATTTGTAAGATTTATGTAAAATTCCATAGGTGTAGTTAAATACGTCAAAAGTGAAAACTAACATTAAATGATTCTGATTAAACTATTGGAACACATTTTCCAGATAACAGCTCTATATTTAAATGGTCAAGAAGTTGGTCAGTTTGTTCAGACTTCTATGCATGATTTTGTAACTTATACAGTCTAAATTAATTAACATATTTTTTTGATGTGGTGGTACTTATTCCTCTTGACCCAGAACAAGGCTAGACCAAGTACAGGAGACCGTTCACCGACAGAAAATCAAACACCATCTGCGGATCCTCCAAAATAAAATTTTTCTCCAGTCCCATACAGGACAGCAAATGATCAGGTGAAGCCTGGTGAGCATTACATTTTAGGCATACAGGGAACGTCTTTTGACCCTGAACAAATGTTAGTCCGCGGGTATGACCAGTGATTAGTCCTGTGATAGCTGTCTGCAGTTTCCTATCACCTTTCAGCTCCAGGGCAGCCCCAGGACTATTTTATTGATACCATTCACGACTAGATGGAATCCTCCAAGTTCTATTATTGTCGGCCTTTACTTTTGCATAGATTTCATTGTATGTTAGAAGGCTACTACTATCTATTGGATCATTGGAGCCCTCCTTGGCCAGTTCATTGGCCAGATCATTAAAGTGAAGGTTCACGTGGGAGGGGATCCACTGAAGATGTATATCATTGTGATAAGTGTAAGTCATCAAATTGTCGATGATATTTAGGCCAATTCTGTCACTGATGTTTTGCCAATTACTCAGGTATTGAACTGAGCTCTTACTATCCGTGAAAATCCAAATATTCTCTGTACTCTCAATGGAAATCATGTGTTCTAGAGCCGCGTTTATGGCGATTAGTTCTGATCTGAAAACTGAACAATGGTTTGGGTTACGCCTTTTAATTTTTGTAACGTCATCTTAGTTTTTTATGACAACACATTGTAGAACCCATGATCCATTAAGAATGCTTATTGCGTAAAAATTGGTTCAATTTATCTAGGGGTGTTCCGTTTTTAATCTTGTACTATCTCCTTCCATGTTAAAGTGGCCACAGCTGAAATTTAATCAAAACAACTTCGAATTAAATCGAGTATTCATTTTTCATAAGAACTGTATTCTGTGCTCTCAAGTTATTCAATATAAATCCAATGTTTACTCACTTAAAATGGTCGAGTTAAAATAACTAGAGGGAAATTTCACTCATTTGTCTGGTAATAAAGGAGCCTTCTCATTTTAAGTTAAATTCACTGAAATCAGAGTCAACTGAAATAACTCAAGTTTGAGTGCAATTGAAGCTTTTAACTCAAGTTTGAGTGTATAATTGAAAATTTTAACTCGAATTTGAGTGATTTTCAATCACTTTTGAATGACCATCAGTATTACAAGAGTGGATCATTTAAACTCGAACTTGAGTGAATTTAAATCGTTTTTGATTCACGATCTGTATCACTTGATTGTATTGCCTTAACTCGAACTTGAGTCGTTTCTTATCATTTTTATACACTATTAACATCATTTGAGTTCATGATTTTAATTCAAATGTGCTTTAATTTTATAAAGGAAAAGCAATTCATGTTGAGAGATTTTAATTCAAAATAGAGCGAACTTTAAAATGAGAGTCACGTAACTGAGAAAATGGAAAGTCCAATTTTAATTTGCTTTTAAAAAAATTAGTTTCAAATTAGAAAAAATACTTTTAAAGAAATGTATATATATTTAATTTTCATTTGTTTTTATAACCTTTGTATTTTCTGTATGCTTTTAAAAGCGAGACATTTCTCTTTTTGTGAGAACTTAAAAGGATTATCCCCCGTAATCCCCCGTAATCAATATATTATTATACATATAAAAAAATTAAAGATGAGAAAAAGTGTTTTTTGTGGTTTTAATTCAGAGAGAAAATCGCAAATTAATATGTAATTGTGTGAGTAAAGAGTACTTTGGATGAAAAACCAAGAGCAGTTCAAGGCAACTGTTGAAATGGCTATATTCTTTAATGTTGACGATTATCTCTTTATTACTTTTTCATAAGAAAAAAAAACTAGAATCGTAGAATTTAAAAAAAGTTGTATTTTTAATTTTTTTTAATAATTAAAAGCCTAGTTATGACTGATAAACGAAACAAAAAGTGGCAATTCAATACGGAAGGGTCCCGAAGTAGACTGATCGTAAAGACACGGTTCCCAGTAGAACACCGAAGTCAAGCATCACTGGTTGCGGTCAGTAAGCAGGTGGGTGACCACTTTGATCAGCCTACGTAAGGACAGAGGGTGCTCGGTATCAGTCCTCGTTAAACTGTTTACCGTAAAGTGCTCGATTTCGCGCATGTCATTGGGCTACCAAAGTAGGGGAGCCATACCCTCTGCTGAGGATCAAAATTGCGATGGCATATCTTCGGATCCTTTTCAGGGATGTTTCCCAAACCGTCGCCAATAGCTCATAGTGTAGCTTTAGTGCGACGTAAATAAAGTACCTACCTACCTGCCAATGCAGAAGTAAACGTGAAATTTCAGTAATTTTTGCTTTATGGGGGACGAAAATTCATAAAAGACATTCATTAAAAAAGTTTTTTTAATGGATTTTGCAATGATTGGGTTTAACTTAACACATTTTAATCTTAAATGAAGAAAAAAACGTTTAGAAACCAAAAACAAGCAAAACGAAATTTTAAAGATGTGTATGTAACATCTTATTTCGTTTTGCCTCTTTTTGGTTTCTTACTTTTTATTTAAATTGTTTACATATAAGACAAATTTGGTTTTAGCTGCTTTTAGCCATTTCGACTTATTATTTTAAAGTTTTTATTTTAAGTGTTTGTTTAAATAAACTTTTTAGTACATAGAATTCATTTTAATCTTATTGTACATATTTAAATCTTCATATTATAAGCTCAAAAATTTAAGAAATAAGCTCCGATTCTATAATGTTTAGAATTTATTTTTTAAATTATCCATATTTGTACTTATAAATTAAAAAATCAAAATTTGATTACATTTTGATTTTTTTAAACTACATGAATGTAGTTTTCGCGTTGCACGTAGGATTCGGAAAGAAATATCTTTTCATTAAATGACGGTGCTTTGAAAAAAAAATCAAAAAAGGGTATAAAGTTACATTTTCTTGAATTTCTCAAAACTAGTCAACCCAATTAAAAAATGCATACGATGCCAACTTGCTCCGGACAACAAATATATATTTTAAAGTGGTAGATTATCAATTGCGATTCTTGGTTTAATGAATTCAATATAGTAGAATTTTATCCACCACTATTTCTAAATAATTCGTAGGCTTATATAATGCACCACTTTATATTACTTACGTAACGCTATGCCTTTTAAAAAGCAAGCAAAAATAGTTAAATACTTGTCAAATTTACTTTGTAGTTAATTACCGCTTTTTTTCATTATTTTGGCGTGTCCAGAGCAGTTGGCATCTCTGTTATTGATGCTTATAGTTTTTTGAGCAAATAAATAAATAAATAAAAAACGAGGGAGAGAGAAGGGTGATTAGTGGCAATCAATATTTAAAGGGGGGCAATCTGCATCTAGAGGGGGCGATGGGCCAAAAAAGTTTGGGAACCACTGCTTTAGTTTCTACTTTTTAAATTTATTTCGACCAATTGCTTTTTAATTTAGTTTATTCTATTTTTAATCTATTTTAAATTTAATTTAATCTATTATTTTTCTTAAGTTAAATCTATTTTTATTCTATTTTTGATCTAGTTTATCTTTACTAGAAAACAATGAAAAGAAGTTTAGTCAAAACTTTATTATACAAATATTTTAAAACCGAATCTCATTTTTTAAAATTTTTTAACTTGTCTTTTTTTCAAGCTTTTTGACAAATATATTTTATAATCATTTATCCAATTAAATTCCAGACCATTTAATTGAGATATTACTTATGAAAAATTTAAATTTTCATTTAATGGTTTCCTTTTATTATAACAAATGTTTTAAAAATTTGAACGAAATAGAAGTACATATTAATATGACATTTCTATTTAAATAGACTGAAGTATTTTCCAATAGCTAGTTTAATAGTAAAAAAAATAATGCTTTATTTAATAGAAGGGAAAAAATTTAATTATCTTATTTTATCTCAAATTCAATTATTTTATTGTCATGTTCCGTTGTCATGATTATCAAGGCCTCTTAATCTAGTTCATATTCTTTTTAAGGATGAGTTAACTAAATTATCAATACGATTAATTTTTTACTGAATTGTTTTTATTTTTGTACTGAAAATATTCCTTCTTTGTTGTTTAAAAATACTGATGTTTATTTCAAAGTGTTTGACTAATTAATTCGTAAATATAACCGTGTTACTGAAATATTTTAGCATTCAATATTTATAATCGAAAATATGCTATATTATTTCTTTTCTTTAATGAGTATCGTTAATTATATTTAT